GATCAATAGCTGTTGTTCTTTTAAACATCTAATCCTTACTTTTCCTCATGAAAATTGCACTAAAATCACTTCTGTTTGTTGTTTTGTATCAACCAATAGGTCCTTACACATTTTTTTAACTCAGATATTTTTAGCTAATTTAGTGTTACATATTGATAAAATTAATATGGTGGGGGATTTATTTCACTGATGTTGGCACACATAGGTTATTATCACACATGGAAAGTGATAACATGTATACTTTAATACCAGCTTAGATTCAATTAGCTTTACTCAAAGAATCCACAGACCTGTCTACTCCTGTAGTGATACTTCAGACCTTGTGCTGAAAAATGGTGTTGAAGGTGAAGCAATAACAGAACTTCCCCATAAGCAAGGGCGTAGGAACGAGTCTGTCATTGGGGGGGACGCATATTGGAAACCTGACAGATCAGTAAATAGCTTGAGCAGAATTGTCAAACAATTATGCCATCCAGGGCCGTGCAGAGACCTCTAAAGGGGCAGGTGCTCAAAAAAAGGGCACATCTCACCGCATTCTAGGATAGAATATTAACAAAGCCACAGCTTTCAGAGTTTAATGAACAATGAGAATTTACAAAATTGTGAGATATACAATCAAAGCTAAGGAAAATCTCTATATAGAGCATACAAGATATTTTATTAGTAATTTCTTTCTGCAGGTCTATTTTGTTATAAGTATTGCCATATTCAAACCCGCAATTTAGCAGGACATGTAAATCAGAGCTAAACCACCAGACATAATATGTCTTTACAGAATTACACTATTAAAAATGTAAACAACAAATAATTTTAGTACGTTATGTGTCAGAAGAGGGCTTAGAAAATAAGACCAAAAAAAAAAAAAGTTTGACCAAAAGGGCACTTGGTGGCAAGGAGCTAAAGGGGCAGGTGCTCAAGCCCCCCCAGCCCCTCCCTCTGCACGTGCCTGATGCCATCAACACATCAGTAATGCGTTACTCTAATCTGACCCTTGTTTCAGTAACAAGTATTCTAACATGTTACTATTTACAATCCAATAATCAGATTAAAGTTATGCAGTATAATGACCGTCATTCCAGGATGAACACTCACTTTAGCATTTGCCTCTCTCTATCTTTGGTAAGTTACTGAATGCAGGGCTGGAATGTGAGGCTGAGTTAACAGTGAGGAGCTGAGTTAACAGTGAGGAGCTAAGGTGTCTGTTAGACATGAAAAGTATAATTTTTATTTATTTTGTAGATCAAACTGTTGCACTGATGTAGAGAGTTGTTAAAGAAGAACAAAACTTGTTTAGATTTTATTTTTGTTGGTCAAATTGCTGTATTGAGTTTAAAACTGCCGAGTCCTATTTTATGAGCTGTTTTCTACTTTGGTTTTAGAAAGAGGTAGAACCAGTTCAATTACCAGTCAATTTATATCAATGCATTTTGACCAATAATCAAATGTCTTTTGACCAATAAAATATATCAGAATCTGGTAGCCTGTCTGTGCTACCAGAGTATTTAGCTTGCTAGTTGTGAGAGGCAAATGCTAAAGTGAGTGTTCATCCTGGAATGACGGTCATTATACTGCATAACTTTAATCTGATTATTGGATTGTAAATAGTAACATGTTAGAATACTTG